TTGGTAGGAAGTAACCCTTGGAGACAGGGGGTGACACACACACACACACACTGTTTGGGGTCTCTTGCCGGGATAGTAGTTTGGCTTGTACATGTTTGTATAGGACTGCCGCGTTTCTTCATAGACGGCTTTTTGTAGTGTGTGGTTGGTGGTGATCAGGAAAAATATTGAACAAAGGTTTGCAAAAGATGGCACCTGTCCCAAGGACTTGATGGACCTGCCACAACCGAATAAAGCGGGGAAACCATCAAAAACAGAATGAACAGGTTATATTTATGACTATGGTTGCTGGAAATCGGTCGATCTGAGGTGTTCCATCAACAGTCCCTTCCCAGAATTGGCCTGCAGTTACACCACGTCAGACACCTAAACGCAGCCCCGGCAAAAACAAGAACTTGGTATGTTTGAGGTTCCCGTCAGACACCTTTCCACAGCGTGAGTAGTTGTTGTTTCTGATTTGGTGCCACCGGCGTCCTTTGGGACTCGTGCCGTGGAACCACTGTGGACCTTCCGTGTTTGCCCCGAAGTCGTCGGACCTTGTCCGACCAGCTTGAGGAGAGATGTCGGCCGTTTCCAGCAGCAGATGGCCTTTTGGCACGGATTGTTTCATGGATGGGGTTTTGGTATGTGTTGGTAGTGCCTGGCAGCTGGTTTGATTTTTTGGGGGGGACTTGGTGCGGCTGAGTCAACTCTATGAACACTGCGGTTGACTTCTTGGACAATGAACTTGTTACTTTGACTTCTCACTTGCTTTGCAGCAAATGTGTCGATCTTTGTTTGGTCTTGGTTGTGGATTTCCTATACAGGAGTTAAGTAGAAATCATGCAGATCTACACCTCACTATTGTAGTTTAAATTGTCAAACCACCTTTTGGGGTCGTTCTCGTGCGCTTCGTGGCGCTCATCTTTGTGCTAACTCTTAGTGTTCCGGGTCAGGGTACAATATAGAATATTGATACTACATTATAGAGAGCCGCGATGGGTCGTGTAATCCAAACCCGGGAAGTGTGGATACTGATATAATACTATTAGTCAGTCTTAGATGTCACTATGTCAAAGCAAAGCATGTTGGGCAAACCTGGTGGGTTGATTCGTCACGGTTCATGGAACCAAGTAACTTGCAGAAGTCAGAAACCAGTTTAAGTCTATGGAATAGTAAGTCTACTCCATTCATATTATTAACAGGTGAAAGTGGGCCGTAGTCCAAGTTGTTGCTGCCTACCTTAGCTAATTCATTGATTGATTGCTCCATCCTACCTACCCGACTGTCTTTTCAACATGTTCACATCCCATTTGTCAGTTTCAAATGACCGCTCTTGCCAACGTGACGACGACCCTGCTTTTTTGAGCCAGCTACTACGAATGAAGTGGTACCCTGCCGTGGGTTGCCAGGCGATCAGGAAGGCCATGGATCATCCAAATATCATCAGGCTTCTCGGTCGACGAGAATCCAGACGAAACCATCCCACGAACCCGAATCGTGTCCGAACCATCCCCCGAACCGTAGCACGGACAGCAAAGAGCCGAAAACGGGTCGAAGTGCGTGCGGTGGAAGCAAGATGAGAGCCCACTCCTCATTTGATGACCAAAGGAAGCATTGTCCCTGCCATAGCTACATTCAAGGTAGGTGCATTGTGCCATCTTGTGCCACACCGAGAAAGCTCAGGGATTTTACGAGCCACCAAAAAAGACGAATTCGTCCCACCAGGCAGACTGTTCCTCGGCGTCTCCGCACGGCACGTCTCAATGTGGATGTTCAGGCTCTATGAGACCTTTGAAGATCGAACACACATCTACATTGTCATGGAGCTTTGTGCCGGTGGCGACCTCTTTGACCCTTGGTCGCGCCACTCCAGTGACGGACGATGCGCCAGATCTCATCCAACTTCTCTGCGTATCTTGGGGTGTGACGAGTGGTGGAGGATCCCAGTGAGCACTAGCTAACTAGTTCATATAGGCAAGCAGTGGTGCCTGTAACAAACACTGTAATAGTTGCTTAAAGCTGCTCCAGTCTTAAATCACAGGAAGCAAATATAGGAGCTAAGTTGGTGGATGCTCAATTAACTAATGCAGGGCAGGTTAGCTGGGGGGTGTCCAAGGGACTCATGAAAGCGCATGAAATACACTCGAATTGGTGGGCAGCGTGAATAGAATAGAAGGTGCAATTCAGGAGATTGATCAGAAGCTCTGGGCAATCGATCTTTCGAAGATCGCGAAACACCCAAACCATCCAAAACCGCTTGTACATGTCATGTCCGCATATCTACACTATCACTTAAATGTGCGACCCAAAACAACGAATACCATATACCATGATCATATGGCCCATGGCCGCCCATGGCCCCTTCCGCAGGAAGGTCGGCCACTCTTCTCTTAGGATCGGATCATCGACCAGCATCTCACAGAACGTGACGCGGCGTGGATCATGCAGCAGCTACTCCACGCCGTGTTCTACATGCACAAGCACCAGGTGCAGCGTCCAAAGACGTGCCGTCGTGTCATGAGTGTCATGTCGCTGTGCGAGGGTGTGTTGGCCCGTGTGCGTGAGAGTGGCACTGGGAAGGGAGCGAAGATGAAGATGTTTGGTATCGATGTTGGAGTGGCTTCACTTGTGCAGGTCTGCCATCGGGACCTTGATCCTGTGAATCTTCTCTTCTTGACACTCGGAGTTGTTGAGCGCGGATCTCATCAGATCACTTTCATGGAGAACCTTTTTGTTGGATAGGAACCGATAAAAAATTACGAGGGATGGAGCAAACCCAGTGCGGCATTCTGCCCTGGAGGGGGCTGGACAGGTTAGCTTTGACAATTTGACAGCCAGGACCCTCAAAGTGACCTTTTGTGTTCCCAGGATGATGTCACTAAGGTTTGCAAAAGGGTCACAAAACGAGACTCCAAAGAGGTCACTTTGAAGACTGCTGGAGCTTTGCCACTCTTTTCCAAACACACGTGTGCAAGGGAAATCCTGGCGCATCAGTTCCTGGAAGTTCCATTTCTCACTTTCAAATGCATTGTGGGATGTGATACACCAAGGGCTGGGCACGGCCTGAGTCGGTGTTCTGGCACACCGATCCCAGAATAAAAGTTCCCAACGTACCGGATGGTCACTCCTGCCCGCAGACGTACCAGACGGATGTGTGTTGTCATGGGAAGCTTTGTTCGTTGAATTCATGTTGAAGATTGGAAACCTCACACGTCAACATCTCCCAACCAAGCTGTGATTTCAGTTCTATTCTGACCAAGGACCAGAGATCTGATTGCCAAGAACCTGTTGAAGGTCAGTGGTTTTGGCTTTTCAACATACTTTGACAACGAGGTGCCGAGCTTAGGGACAGGGTGGCTCACCCGATCCTGGAAGACCACTAAGTGGTCTTGTGGAGCTTGGATGTGTCTAAAGCCCTTGTTGGTGCATTCAGGAAACCAAAGATTAATCTATAGCCCCAAAAAAACTTTCAGAGAAGATGGTAACTTTGCTCCTTCGCCTCAGGCCAGTTGCAACTGTTTCGTCTCAAAAGCAGGCCTCCCCGAAAAGCAGCCCCTGCCTGCAGCTCCATTTATTCCATTTTATGGTGGTATCAATTTGGCTGTTTCCAACAAATCACCATTTGACAAGACATCTACCCATGAAAGATATTTCAGTCCTCAAAGCAGAATCACTCCTTGCCTTTTATATGCCTTTATATTCTATATGTAGGCTGTAGATTCACATGGAGTACCTCTTCCCTTTCAGCTTCCCATTCTCCACCGGACTCCCGTTGAATCCGTCCAATCCGCTCGCTTCAGACCGATAGCTCAGCTCGACCTCCGAGGTGCCCATGCGCACCAAAGCTGGAACGCCTCACTACGTGGCACCCGAGGTGCTTTCAGGTGGCTCAAAGCGTGGGCCGCGTGGTGCCGCGGCGGGAAGGTCGACGGAGACCCTCCGCTTCTCTGGAATACTAGCTCTAAATAGGTGTCGATGAGTTTTTAGAAGGTTCACCTACCACTTACTCTCAGTCCTAATGCCTGAAGCAGTCGATCTTCGACCGGCCAGGGAAGTATGAGAGTTCCTGCGATCTTTGGAGCTGCGGTGTCATCATGTATACCATGTTGAGTGCCTGGGCCTTTCGAAACGCGGAACGTGTCGTCACGCGTCACCGCGACCACAGCAGCAGCAGTTGAGGGCTTGGACTGGCAGGGACTGGCAGGGACTGGCAGGTCTACGTAGGTGGCGATGGCTCAACAACAAGTCCAAACTGATGAAGCGAGACAAACATAATTAGACCAAAACTGCGTGGGTCTTCATGTGTTGTTTATTTTTTTAAATGTTATATTTGCCATTCTCCTTGGCCTGGGAGGACTTGTCCACTTGAAGTGCTAACACCTGTTTGGCAAAGGTTATCCCCATGTACGAAACATTATCACCAAGAGTAGACCACCAAGTTAGGCGTAGGCTTACATGACGAAGTTCACAAGAGGCAATCCAAATGTCACTTGCCATGAAGTGAAGGTGTCCAAATAAAGAAAGACGTCTCCGAAAATGTACTGTTCACTATCATGATGCTGCCATGCTCAATTGCGTAGTCTAACTGTTGAATGTCAATCACTTCAACCATCATCAACTGCCCAGTCCGGCCCAGTCCAAATGTATCATGTGGGTTTGAACTCCCCCGGCTCGATGGCGGGAAACGGCCACCTAAGCCCGGGTGGACGCGGCGGACGCCTGGTAACCGCAGAGCAGACCTGGCACTTCTGCCACCCAACTTCCAGTTTGTGCCCAACGTGCATAGACCCCCTTGCATAGATAGAAGTTCGGGTCGGGGCGTAGAACATGTAGACAGGAAACCGTGCCACGGTCATCTAGTTGGGGATTCACTATATACAAAGAACATCTTCCCAACATGGGGTCCCAAACTGATTTTGCGAAGCATTGCCTTCCCAAATCTCCGTTCGGCGACCGCGACTGTGCTTTGGTGAGGTGGTGGCTTCCCCCCCTTCGATGGCGCGACGGATCAAGAAGTCCTCATGAAGGTGAAAAAGGGAAGCTACCAGCTTCCTGGATTGATTTGCAACTGTTTGCACTCAAGCAGGATTTGTTTGCTTAGCTTCAGACTCATTCCAAAAAAGATGCATGTCACATCTTTAGAAGCAAGTTAGTTCGGTTGAAAGTCCCAGCGCAGATTCCTAAACTACTCCACAAGCCTCCTGACAAAACCGTATCAATAACTAGATACAAGAGTGAGTACTTCCCCTCAAAAGGCCTATTGGATCTAGTTGTAAATATGTTTTCTATGTCAGTAGGAGAAAGCCGGAGTTTACATGCATCCTCCTTAGTGAAATCGCTTCATTGGTGTCTTGGGATTCTGCCTATTACCAGGAGATGCCGCAGAAGGCGGAAAAGGATCGCATCGCCCACCCGCACCACACCCCCCAGTGATCGCATCGAGGTTTGACCCCGAGTACTGGAAGCACATCTCAGAAGATGCCAAGAGACTCATTGGATTCGTGGCACTGATTTCTGTTTCAACTCGGAGCTGGGAGCCGAACTGGCAAACGGTTAAATATCCCGAAAGAAACTCCCACGTTGCCAACGCTCATGTCTAAATGTTGGCACATCCTATACACGAGATGACGTTTTTGGGAGTCTCTCCACACAGTAAAGGATTTCTGACAAGCATTGGGCATTTTCATCTAGCAAGTCAGTTTATGCGATCTATGCGGTGTATGAAGTTCCAAGCCACTTTAATCTCCGGATATTAATTTTTTGTTTGGCGTTCCGGTGACCGGTGATGTGTTTTTGGGGTGGTCTCTCGGTGGGTTGCTTTGGCGCAGCTCCTCACCACATTGCTGTTCATGGCTCACTCCGTACGCATGCATCGGGGACTCCGATGAGCTTGGCATTTGTCCGAGGAATGTTGCTGAAGGTCAATCCAAAGCAGCGGTACCTCGTTTGCAATGTTTTTTTGCTCTTCTGAACTGAGCTAGCTCGAAAATGCTATGGCGGTCTGGAGTTTGGGCGTGGGCGGCGTCTTTCGCATGTCGAAGACTATTTGGAGCTTCGGAGCGCCGCACGTCCAAGCAGCACGTCCAAGCTTTCGGGCAGGATGCCGGCGCAGTGAGAAGGAGGGTTTCCAGTGAAAAGAGTTAACTGATGTTGCGACCCTTGCAAGCTGCAAGCCTTGGCAATGACGTCGTTTTGGTATATGATCATGCTATGATGATTCAATATGATGATTCAATATATGATGAGAATATCATAGAACCCAAGCGGTCAGAAACAAAAACCTTTCTCTACTTCTCTGGGTGGTACCCGGTTGGATTTTCGGTGACCTGATGTCTCACATGGTGAAGCGGTCCACCCGAGGTGTACGGCAGAGCAGGCCTTGCAGAACGTCTGGATCAGGGACCGAGCACCGCAGGCGAAGGACGTCGGCTTACCGGAGCCTCGGCTTACCGCTGTCCGAAACCGGTGGTCCGGGGGAAGAAAAGGGTGCTGCTCCGGTACCTCAAAAGGTATATTGTTGAAGGTATCAGATCTGGGCACTTTTCTTTGCGCCTTTGCTGAGAGAACGTGCGATTGCGATTTTTTGTTTGCCCCACCCGCCGCTTTGTTTTTGGTTCTGCTAGCTCTGACTCCGGTCTTTGCATGTCAAAACACCGACAAATGTGCTTTTGCAGTGGGTCCCGACACATGTCACGAAAGCGAGCTATATCGGATAGAACCGATGGAAGAGACCGCCGTCTTTTTTCGTCGAAGGACACTGAGAAACTCACTGTGAGGTCGGCGTCAAGCGTTGGGCGTTTGTACAAAGGGGGAAGCATTCGCTGGTTTGATCCTCTCCCTTGAAACAATTGCAACCATTCGTTCAGTATTTCAATAGCTTGTCAGCTACTGCGCTGGCGAATGCAGCGTTTCAAAGGACTGTACCGTCAACTTGAAGAGCTTCAGGCGCTGACGGCACAGTTGAGAAATTTGAGTAGTTTGGGGGTTGAGCAATGCGAGCAGAAGTAATCACATGATTGATTTATAAAGTATTAATACATTTTCAAGTTGGTTTGTATATATTAAATGTGCAGTTTCCTGAGTTTGGTGCATTTGACTTCGGGAAAGCTTTTTTTTGTATGCACATGATACAGCATGCAGCATTATATAGACGCGGCCTACAGAAAACAGAGGCTTATTTGGGCCAGGTTGCTGGACCACTCCTGCTGTCCAGGTCAAAGAACAAGTTGATGAAGGCTGTCCAGTCGCACACCATCGCTGGGCGTCTTGGAGTCAGAGCTGAGATCCAGGAGTCTTGGAGTCAGACCTCCCAGGGGCTGTGTATCAGGGTCCAAACATCATAGTCGGCTGTGTATTGGAATAGGGAATACCCCCAGTTTGACGTACAAAAATAGACCACAACCCATTGGTGCAGGGTTTCCCTATCAAGATACAAACATCACATGCTCGAATCAAAATGAATAATCCCTTATTCACTCCTTCCGTCACCATCCACTGACATGTGCTTGTTGGTCATTGCATTGTGTTCTTGTGTTCCTTTTCCCAAACCGACACGACGCACGCGCCAGGCACCACAAAAATGCGTTTTACTTAATTCAGTGTTGCAGAATTGTCGGGACGTGCCTGTTGCTGGATGAATTGGTGGCAATGGCTGTGTTCAGAAGCGAAGAGATGCTGAGTTCAGATCATGAAACTTATGCTGTTTTCCGTCCACTTTCAGCATAGAGTTGGGAGAAACCACCTACTCCAGACGCGACCCATGGGACTAGCAGTCCGGATTGCTCATGGGGGGTCAATGGAGGCATAGACGACAGTCCCAGACTCGGACGACTCGGAGGATCCATCCTGTCCAAAGCTGAGACCACAAAAACCTCACCATGCGGCGTACTGCACGTAGGTGGAACGATGTGGGCCGGGACTAGAGGCTACCATTGCCAATATATATATATATATATATGTATATGGATTATTAAAAAACAGATTGGACACCGACCAAAACAGGGTATTTCTGAACTCCAAAGCCCCAAAACCACGGGTGTTCTTCGGGTCCAGCACGAGCTCCAGCACAGCGAGGTCCCGCAACCAGCTACGGCTCGCCCCGCTCGCCCTGGTAGGAGCTCCGCGAGACCTTCCAGGCCTTGGACCTCCAGGGCGACGGTGTCCTCCCCGTGGCCCAGCTCCGCGAGGCTCTCCTCCAGGCGCGTGTCGCGCGTGTCGTGCGTGTCGCGATCCGTGGAGGGGTCGTGAGTGTGGAGTCTGGTGGAGAGGGTTTTGAGGTGGTGGAGAGGCAGGCTGAGGCAGGTGTGAAGGAATCGGTGGTGGAAGAGTTGGTTGAAGAGATTACAAATTCACACACATTCTATGAACAATATTCGCCTTTGCGTTCTCCTTGAACGAGGGGGCACAAATACAAACACAGAGAGAGAGAGAGAGCTTCCTCAGGGCGATTATCAATCAGACAGTTGTTCTTTGCACATTGTACAATGGAAAGTGTCTCGGTCTATTGCACTCCCATACCGGAATGCAGAATCCAGAATCGCATGGGGGGGGCTGCCTGTGTTTTCCCTCCCTGTGGAGGGAGTTAGTTCCGTTCTGGGATTGAAACATAATCCCTATAGGGCTCCAAGTACCTCCTCAGAAGGTATCTGGACCCTCTGAACCCACCCCAAACACCTTCTGAGAAGGTACTTGGAGCCCTAGGGAATCCTTCCATTCCTATCCAGGTTTTTAGAAGGTTGTGTGAGGCTCCTCGCTCGAGGCCCAGCTGCGACATCGGCTGGACTGGGATGCAGTGCTGGAGGAACTTGATGCAGATGGGCACGGCCTCGGCCTTATAGATCCTCGGAGAATGTCAAGTCGCCGAGTTTGGCTCTTGAGTTTGGCTCTTCCATGTTTCATGGATGGTTTTTGTTGGCGTGTTTTGTGTGCTTATTTGCCGATGAGTTCTTGGCGGTTTGTCACAATTGATTTCTCCTGCTGCTACACATCCCAAAAACGTTGAGAATCCGCATGAGCGCCGGTGCTAGGCGCGAATCGATGTGGGGCAGAGTTTGGGTTCAGGGTTGGACCGGTAGGAGGGACCTCTGTGACCTCCACGGTGGCCGGTCGTCAGAAAAGGTTGGTAAGAGTCTGGTAAGGTGGCCCTCAGAAGATGCATCCATCCAGCCATCAATTCTTAGCTGAATTGTGTTTGCACCTGCACCTGCACCGGCACAAAGGCTTGCACAAAGGCACCAGTCGCCAGCCCTCGCGTATATCGTTTTTACTTGTTTTGGGGTGAAGTGGCTGCTGCTAGCTTACCACCCCACACACGTTCAGCTCAGGATTATACGGAGTTCTTGGCCGCCATGTTGGATAAGATAGCCCTGCCCTCAGCGAAACCGGGTGTCCTTCGCCGAAAGGCCCGGTGAAAAACGACGGATGCCGGACGAGCACACGCGAAAACAAACGAGAGCACTCAGGTCAGACCCACCCCAACAAGCATGCGGAATGGATCCCACTTCACCCCTATACGCACCTTTTTGTAGGGTTTAGGATGGTTAGGAGGATTCCTGGGTCCCTGCTGTGCTTTTTGGAAGCACATGGCGACTGTGTTACCGTGGTCACTGGGCCTACCGGGATTGGAGTGAGCAAGCACACCATCTTCGGCAATTGGAAAGAAAGACAGGTCAACAAGCAAGTGGCAGGGAGAAACGCCATGAAACGCCCGAGAGAAACGCCCGAAGAGGTTCACCAGTTGCGCTTGCACAGGTGTTGGTTTATTTATGTTTATTTGAATTTCTGACATGAACTGCTTAGAGATGATCCGAGAAGTCAACCGCCTGGATCTCCATCTCTCCACAAGATCCCCACCGGCCTTCGCGACCGCCAGGTGGACCACGACGGCGACGGCCGCGTCAAGTTGGAGGATCTCAAGCTGCCGCTGGGAGCGGAAGTGGAGCTATATAGACTGTAGCTGTTGAGTAGCACAGCGACAACATGATGCTACGATAGGATATACTTCCTCTAACTTTAATAATTAGTAATCGATCATTAATCGATAGTAATGGCCTTCAACCTATATATAATACTCTCTTCATCTCTCTTCTATAAGATGCTACAACTTGGGTCCTTGAGAGTTCCGCAGTGGCCTTTTTCAGATCGGTGGCACGCGTGGAGGGTGTGCTTTGGTATTGTCTTTTCCGCGTTCTCTTTGTGGGCGCAAACTGTCAAGGCCGCATTCTGCGGATCCATTCTGTGGGTGGTTCTGGGGACGATGCGACTGGTCGCGGTCGACGACCATGGCTTGGACCAAGGATCTTGGAGAATGGTGACATGGAGCAGCTCATGAACGGTCGCACTTCGGAGGCCACGCAGATCGCCACGACCGCATCCGCGTCCGAACATCGGGCCAAGCATAGTCGTGAGCGCCTGCGGCAAGGGTACGTGGCGATGCCGACGGAGTTCTTTTAACCAGTCGCCTGGTTTGGGCTTGGGTGCCCGAAAGAAATGGATTTGGATCCGAGCAGATCTGGTGATTCCGAATTGGTTCCTTTTCCAGCTTGTTGCGAGGGATTGTTCCATGAGTCACAGGCACGTTGCGAGCCGCGCTGTCTTGTGCCAACCCAGACCCCAACCAGAAGGATTGGTTCTTGACATCATCCTTATCTTTAATCACCTTTGGTTTGTAGGATGAATGGACCTTTTCTGGCATCATCTGAGTCCAAAGTCCAAAGTCAGCCTTTTCAACTTCAGGGGGGCTATCGGGTCTATGGCCGCCTAACCAACCCCCCCTGACGACCCCCGCGTCGTTCGTTTCGCACGAGCCGTTTGGCCGTCCACCTGAAGACGGCAGGACCTTTTGCGGGAGGTAGATCTGAATGGTGACGGTTCAATTCACTTCGAGGAGACGGCGAGACGGCGAGCGAGTCGAAAAACGGAGGCGAAGGGTTGAGTGCCATACAGAGACTGAGTGTTTGAAAAGTGGGTGCCAGACAGCAAAAAATGAAAACACATTATTCTGAAAAAAGAAACAAAACAAACGGACCAACAGCATAATAATTCTTCGAAGCAGCACCTCTTACATCGTCTTACAACATTTCAGGCAACTGGACGAGTTTTGCTTTACTGATGCGAGGCGAATGCTACTTGTACCCTCCATCTCCCAGCTTGTCCCAGAACCATGGAGGAAACCAAAAAAAGTCTTGGGGCAGTCAGGCAGAAGAAGGAGCAAGACAGTCACAGGGCGCAGACTTAACGGCAAAGATCTGGAAACTCGTGAGGCTGGGTGCTCTTCTCACGGCGCCTGCGTTGGACAAACAGGGCCGTCTCGAAGCTGCGCAACAAGCGAACACAAGCAAAGATGGAGAGATACCGGGGACCGGTCCAATTTGTTCCAAATCCAAAGTACACAATTCCGGGCGATCCTTTGGTCTTCAGTCCCCTTGGCGAAGTCCGCGAGCGGAAGCGGGAAGCCCATCAGTTGTCAGGAGTTCATGGAGATGATCAGACCAACGGAGACGAAACCCACCTCCAAGGCGCCTTCATGTAGAAAGTTCATCTAGTTTGCTGATCATTGACGATAGCAATGGCCTCTAACCGACTAGCGAGGTAGCTGTGGGTCACGGCACCAGACCGACCGGGCCTACTTGGTGAAGATCACACTACATGGGACCAGGGCTCCAGGTGTTGTAAAATCCCCATGTGGAAGACCTGAAATCGGGTCTTGAATCTTATATGCTTTCACTTTTCTGTGTTGTCCTTCAATGATCTTCTAAACAAGTCCCGAATTGTGACGGACTTCGTCGCTAGTTTCGCACCCACTGCAGATTTGCTGGAACTGCTCAAGGCCAAAGGGATCCAATCACCCACTGGCCATGCACGAATGCATTCATCCAGGAACCCGAAGTGATAAGCGCCCACTACTGTGTCACGATGTTTCTTTTCTTCAATTGGGGTGCTGTCGAGCGGTCGAAGGCCTTGCTGGCTCATCCGCCTGCAGCATCTGCAGCATCTGCAGTGGCTTGGCGGAGCCGCAGGCTGCGTCGATGG